GTGCGCCAGCTCGGCCTGGATGTGGTCGCTGAGGCCCTCGTGGTACTGGTCGATGAGCGCGGGCTCGTTCCAGTCCAGGTCCTGGGCGATCATCTGGAACGCGTTGGAGTAGTCGACCACGGACCCCATGCCCTGGCGCAGGCGTCTGATCTTGCGCTTGGCGGCCTCTCGCCGCTGGGGGTCTTCGAAGACGTGCTTCATCTCGGTCATGAAGGCTGGGTAGTTGTGCATCAGGTAGTGGGCTCGCTCCAGCTTCGCGGAGGCCCAGCGGGCGGCGCGGCCGGTCATCATGCTGGTCACGAAGCAGACGCGGACGCGATCGATGGAGAAATCTCGGGTGCTCTTCTCCATGAAGATCTGGCACTGGGACATGAAAGGCACCAGCATGTCTGGGTTGCCGTCGAACTTCTCGGGGAGGTCTTCGGAGCCCTCTTCCTCGGCGGGGGGGGGGGGGGCAGCAGCCGCTGCGGCGCCACGGAGCTCCAGCTCATCCTCTTCCTCCTCCTCTTCTTCCTCTTCCTGGGGGGCGGGCTCCACTTGCTCGCGAAGGTTCGAGTTCTCCTCGGTGAGCCTCTGCACCTGGTCCTGCAGCTTGTTGTTCTCCTCGGACTGCCTCATGACCTTCTCTCTGAGGTCGTTGATCTCTTGGGAGAGGTTCTCCCGCCGCCGGCGCTCCTGGTTGGGGTTGCCCTGATCCCTTTGGCAGTTGTTGGAGGAGGAGGAGGAGGGGTCGTTGGGGGGGGGAGGAGGAGGTGGTGGTGGGCAGTCGGCGGGCCCCAGGGTGAAGGTTGGGGTGGGAGGAGACCTCCCAGCTGTCGCTTCACTTCTGTGGGGATGGAGGCCTGGATCCTGGCCTCCTCGTCCACCCTTTCTTCTTCTTGTTTTCAAAAGCTTTTTGTTTCTGTAAATGAGGATAAAAGCATAATTCAACACATACAGTCAAAGAAGCACAATAAAAAGAAGAATTCAGCATTTAAAGTGTCTACTAAAGTACTTTAAATACATGAGTATTTAAAGTATCTCTTTACTTGCTTACATTAATAGTTGATAAACAAAACCCCTACAAAGAAACAATAGATAATGGGAAAAACACCTCTTTTTGATGTTTGATGTTTTTCTCCTCAAAAATCCACCTATTCATTATGATTCAATAATACATAACTGTATCAACAGTACACTGCTTAACTTTATGACTATAAAAGAATGCCAAGACACTCCAAACAAGTTGTTTTGAATCCAGAGAGCAGAGCAAGAAACGTTCAAGGTAAGATGGCTACCAAATAAATTACACAAAAGAAAGCCAAAATGATTAACTGTTTTTAAAACAGTTATTAAAGAAGTTACAGATAATACAGCAAATAAACAAACAAAAAACCCCGCCAGAAAACCCATAGGATTGTCTAAATTAGTTTTCTGGCCATAATTTGATTTCCCAAAGAGAAGTTCCTACGGGACAGAAATGGCACTGAGCAGCAACATGTATATATCAGTTTTCCTCCTTATTATGTAGGCAATTAACAAATATCAGTTGCTACCTCCTA